AACTGGCAATGCAGAGGAATAATGCAATTCCTTCTGCTTTTAACTATTAATGCGTTCTAATAATTAATGCTGTAATTTCTGTTCTGGGTCCACAGTTCAAAGCTCTACCCAAAAGTCCAGTCAGACCAGTCCATTTGTAATGTGCTAATGATCTTCCTCTGAACCACATAAGAACAAAATTAGGTTTTTGAAATGCTCGAAATACCACTGAGCTGAAACAGAAATTTGCTTATACTCATGTTAATAGCAAGTCACACTCTGGAACTGATCAATAACCTTAATTTCATTACTTCTGCTTTCAGGCAAATTTGAAAGAAATACTCAGGTTCCAGAACATAATCTCATATATATATATATATATATATATATATGATCCAGATCCATAGATATATATATCCAGAACATAATCTCATATATATATATATATATATATATGATATATATATATCTTTTTTTTTTTCTCCTGATGCTATTTACTTATTATTCTTAGATGGATGTGTGGAAAAAAAGATTTGTGCTAAATGGCTATTTGTGCTAAATGTGCTAAAACATCCTTTCCTTTTTCTTCTAGTCATCAGCATTTTAGCTGCAAAAACGAGAGAAAAACTGCAGGAACTGTTAGCAAATGCAACAACTGTTAGCAATGGCTAACGTAGTGGCGGGTATTTCAGGAGAGAAAACATCATGCACTAAATATATTCAATTATTTGGAYCAATTTCTACCTTTGACCGACTGCGACCACCCTAGGGCAGTGTGATGTTGGTTGCACACCGGGCTGTTCTGCGCTYGCCGGGGCCGCGGGCTCCCTGGTGTCAGTCCCTACACGAAGGCAGCAAAGGCCTCTCTCGTAGCAGCCCCTTTTAACCCCTGCCCTCTTGGCCACCGTTTTGCAGACACACCCAGCCCTGGCTTAACACAGGAGGGCATTCCTGGCTGAGCAGTGCTGCTCTCCTCACTCTTGCACATTCCCCGGCCAGATATCACATGCCTAAGATAAACTTTATTCTTATTACTTTTGGCTGTGTAGGATTTTCAATCCATTTCAATGATTATTTTTTTTCAGCATTCTGAGATCTGTTGATTTCTTTTGTAAGTAAAAATGCAGTATTATTAAAAAATAGTTAATGGAATGGGTTGACATTTAAAAATATTAATATAGTGTACTGGTTACACGTACGAACTTTTACCTAACCAAATAAAGTGGTTCAGCACTTGTCTACAGAGAACGGAAGCCGGATGATTCTTCTTCCATCTTCCATCCATGGGATGGAGCAGCCAGGAGACATCCCAGTCATCTACCCCACGATCGCTGGGGAAATACACACRCACTCCAGCGTCCTATCAAATGTTCACCCTCAGAGTGCAAAACTCTGCCCACTCTGAAGGAATAGTCTGATTTAATGTATTTTCATCATAGAAAATACTTCGCCACAGCAGGAGCAAATCTGAGAACAGCTTGGAAATGGAATATATCAAGAAGCCAAATTTCTCAATTTGGCTTGTTGCGAACATCAGAATTCTTTGGGATTGTGACATTCACTTTCGGATTGTTAAGCTTGCGTTGAATTGTGACGCTCAGGTTAGAATTCTGACACTCACTTTAAAATTCTAGAATTCTAGAATTCTGCTGTTTGCTTTAGAATTCTGACCTTTTAGAATTCTAGTGCTCACGTTAGAATTCTAATGATTGCTTTAGAATCTTAGCACTCACATTAGAATTCTGACGCTTGCTTTAAGAACTGTGACGCTCACATTAGAATTGTGACRCTCGCTTTAAAATTCTGACACTTGCATTAGAATTTTGATGCTTTAGAATTCTACTTCTCATGTTAGAATTCTGCTGCTTTAGAATTCTAGTACTCGGATTAGAMTTCTGCTGCTTGTTTTAGAATTCTAGCGATTGCCTCAGAATTCTGATGCTCACTTTAAAATTGTGATGCTCGCAATAGTATTCTCATGCTGGCGYTAGAATTGTAATGCTCGTGTTAGAATTCTATCGCTCGCGTTAGAATTCTGAGAAATTAGAATTCTGACACTTTAGAGTTCTAGCATTCTTTTCGAATTAYGATGCTCGCTTTAGAACTGTGTCGCTCGTGCTAAAATTCTGACACGATAGAATTCTGACGCTTGTGACAGAATTGTGATGAGTTAGAACGCTAGCACTCGTGTTAGAATTCCAGTGCACGTGCTGGAATTCTGACACTCGTGTTAGAGTTCTGAGGCTTCAGCATTCTGACGCTTGCTTTAGAATTCTGCCGCTCGCCTGGGGATTTTGACTCCCGCTTTGGACTGTGACACCCGCTTTGAGATCGTGACGCTGGCTCTGGGATTGTGACGCTCGCATTAGAATTCTGACGCTGGCATTAGAATTGTGATGCTCGCTTTAAAATTCTAGTGGTGTTACAATTCTGAATTTAGAATTCTAAATTCTAAATTAGAATTAGAATATAGAATTCTAAATTCAGAATTTATATATCTTCTGCTGTTCGTGTAGGATATCTGATGCTCGCATTAAAATTCTGACCCTTTAGAATTGACGCTCTCATTAGAATTTTGACGTTTTAGAATTCTAGTGCTTGCRTTAAAATTCTGCTGCTCGTTTTAGAATTTTGACGCTTGTGTTAGAAYTGTGGCGCGCTCGTGTTAAAACTTTGACGCTTGCTTTAAAATTCTGATGCTTGCGTTARAATTCTAACGCTCCCACTAGAATTCTGATGCTTTTTAATTTTGATGCTCGCGTTAGAATTGTGACATTCGCTTTAAAATTCTGATGCTCACAYTAGAATTGACACTTTTGAATTTTGATGCTCGCATTAGAATTATGACAYTCGCTTTAGAATTCTGACGCTTGCATTAGAATTTTAACGCTCCTGTTAGAATTCTGACGCTTTCGAATTTTGATGGTCACGTTAGAATTGTGACGCTCGCTTTAAAATTCTGACGTTTGCGTTAGAATTCTGACGCGTTAGAATTCTAGTGCTGGCACTAGAATTCCACTGATCGCTTTAGAATTCTAGTGTTCGCGTTGGAATTCTGTCGCTTGCTTTAAAATTCTGACATTCACTATGTGACGCTTAGAATTGTGACGCTTTAGAATTCTGACACTTTAGAATTTCTGCTTGCATAGTTATGTGAAAATCTGCGAAAACTCAGCTTGGTAAAAGTATTTATGAAGACTACATATTGAAAGTATTTTTTTTTTTAATGTATTTAATGGAGTTCAAGCTCAACCCAGGAGAATACCAAAGTTAATATTTAATCCTAAGAAAATCTGAGGTTTTTTTTTTGAAGGTAGAATGTGTTCACTTAAAGAACAACTATTTAACTTCTGATTTTCCTTTTAACATGTATTTTCTGTGATATCTTTACCTTGATTTCACATATAATGCTTACTAAAAATGCAAAATGTCACACATAAAACATATACATATAACCCTGTGAAAAAATTTAACTCTGCTTATGGTCACCCACAATATGGCAATATATATATATTGTTTTTGTCCACCCACTACATGGATCTTCTCAGTTGTCTCTCCCATATGTATTTACATCTGCAACTGGGAAGATGAGAAACGGAGAACAGATCCTTAGACTAAATTCTGATCTCATTTGCAATCCAGTAGTTACCAGCTCTCAATGCTGAAAATCAATTAGAATCGTCGATTCTAAATCCCATCCCCAAAATATTTTTGTACATACATATCATAAAAGTTTCTATATAAATAGAAAAGCAATTTTTCTTTAAGATACACAAATACTTGAAATGTTTTTATTTTTAGTATTGCCTTCTGTGTCTCCTGTTGAATGTAAACAATTCTATCTTTTCACATGACAGCTTTTAAATCCTTTTTCTCCATAACTTTTCCAATACTGATCAATACTGAGCACAGTATTACCAGTATTGATATACCTAAGAGTATTATACATTTTATCTATATTACTATGATTGCCTGTATGTGTTAATATCTTTTTCAGTGTTTTGGTTTCATTGAACAGAAATCCTTATTGAACTATTCATGATACTTCTTCCAATCTAAGAGTTGTTACAGTTAATTTTTAATAGTTTGAAAGGAAGGGGCACTGTAGGTATAAGTCACCTTGTACTGAAGAATATTGACAGCAGCAGAATAGTGGATGCCCAATATAGGAAGCATACAAAAAAAGATTAATTCTCAGCAGAAAGGCAATTCTCTCCTAAGAACAATCTTTAAGCTGGCTGTGAAGATAGAGTACACAGCAGAAAATGATACCTGAGAGCAGCCACAGCTTTGCTGCTCTTAAAACTGTTAACTAAGCACACACAGCATTTGCAGCTCAGAGATGTGCAACTTTCCATAAAAATTTTCAATCTGTGGGAAACTATGTGTATAGAAATTCATAGAAATGCTTGCTCACCGCAAAAAAAACGTTCCGCATCTAAATTAGATGCCTTTCATGAAGCGGTAAAATATTCTGAATTCAGTATCTTTATATGCAAGCTTTCATGTTGACTATGCACTGCCCTTGCAGAAATATCAACATTGGCAGACGCCTACCATTTAACAAATAAATTCAGTGTGTGAATAGTGGGTTTTTTTTTTTTTTTTTTTTTAAGATCCTGTTCCAGCCAGCCCTGATGGACAAGACAGCACTGCCCCCTTATTCACTTGCTAAGGCTCAATCTTCACGCAGGTGTCAGCAATATTGTCAGTGATGGCGCAATGGGATTTTTTTTCACCTGTGTCACCATGGGTTTGGGGAAAGATTGGGGAGTTTATGTTGCCTTGGAGGTTCAAGAAGATCTCTAGAACGCTTTGGGACATGTGTTTGCGTTGATGTTGGTGCCCAGGTGCCTCCTGGAACCTGTGGTAGGGCTCCTCCAGCCTGGGTCCCACCACGCTGAGGCCCTTGACCAGCAGAGCCTCAGGTGCCGTGCTGGCTAATTAGGGCAGGTTTCCGGCATATAAAAACGAGCTTGGGAAGAGTTTGCTTCTTTCTGAAGAGAGGTTTCTGCAGTGCTAGTCTTGGGAGAGGACAAGACCTGCATTTCATTGCCCTAGGAAGAAGGGCAGCTCTTGGCAACTCAACTCAGAGAAAGGTACGGTCCATTTTGAGGTTATTTACTGTTGTTGTTGCACTGCTCCATTGCCAAAAGGTTTTCAGAGAAAAGGTTCGGAGACAGATTGTCAGGCTTTCGCTAGGGAACTTCTTGCCTTGGTTCAAACCAAGTCAGCCTTCAACCTGCACCTCCCTACACCTTGAGCTGGAGGGATGACTGGGTGCCGTTAGCCATGAGCACATGTCCTAAGAGAGGCAACACTTGAGCTTATTCTCGCCAGCTCCTAATACGCCAAGGTGGCAACAGAGTGAATATGTGAGTAGTGAGGCTTATAGAAGAGTTCTCTGGAGTCTGTGGAGTAGAACGAAGCTCCCTAGCTCGGGGGAAGCAGCYGCCACATCAGCGTGGCGCCGGCTCTGAGGCAGGGACAAAATGGCGGCGCGGCAGGTGGCCGCGCGCTGGGCGGGCGGCCCGCGCGCTGCCGTTGGCCGTTGCGGCTGCTGCTAGGCGGATCGGAGTTGCCTAGCAACCAGCTGTCCGCGCGGGGGGGTCCCGCGTGGCGCCCGTTGGGGCGCGCTGCGCGAGGGGCCGCGCCCTCTGCCGGGAGCGCGAGGTTGTGTGGGGCAGTGCAAAGAAACGGCCCCGCGTGAGCCCTTGAGAAGTGTTGGCCCTGCCTCTGCACAGCCTTTTCCGCCAGGGAAAGGTGTGCCTGCTTGGAGTGCCTAGGTTTGTGCAACCTCGAGTGCACTGTGACAGTGTTTCTCAAGACCTCACTTAGCCAATGGGCTTTCCTTTTTATCTTGGTGTTTCAAAAAGAAAAATAAGCATTTTTTACTTCTAAATCTGATTCTTCAGATGCCAAGGGGAAAATCTAGGGGCTTGAGTCTAGCATTGAGTAGTTGCATAGGAGCTTAATAGAGCGAAATTATGTTATAATTATCCAGAGGATAACTTTTTTCTTTCTCCAAGAATCCTCTGGAGAAAGTTTGTATGTTTAGTGCAGTCTCTGAATAGTGCCCCTCTGTGTAACAGACACCATCGTATTTGCCTGAGCAATGCTAAAACACAATGGGGTTAACACTTTACTTTCCTCCGGGTATAGATGTCAACAAAGCTGCATAAATGTAATGTGAAGCAATTTTATTTCAATATTTAGCATGCAATGTGATGAGTAGTAAGACTCTTGCTTGGAGTTAAATATAGAGCAGAGCAGTGTAGTAAATATAGTGTAGAGCAGAGTTCATCTTTTTTCTTTCTCCCCTTCTTTTTTTTTTCCACTGAGTTGGCATTTTCTTTGCTACAGCTTGTAATTACTGCTGCTGCTTCTTTCTACCTGTAGTAAGAAGATATTTCTCTCTTCTATCCAAGCTGTAGGTAGCTGGGAACTGAAATAATGTGCTCTTGCAAGCTTTTTTTCTGCAGGCTGAATAAAACCATTTATGAATCTTTTTTGTGCTTTCTGCCCCAAATCATGTTTCATTGGGTCATTAGAGGCTTCCTCTGATGCTGGCATCTATTTAGAGAGCTGTTTTACCAGTCCTTTGCTGGTCCTATTCTACTTTTCAGTGTTTTCTACTTGAAACTGTGTTGACCTGGGCACAGTATTTGAGATATGGCTAGTGTGTGGTCACTGCTTTATCTGGTCCTCTTGCTAAGGCTGGGCAGTGTGTTCAGCCTTCTGCATGGCACAGATTTGAGCAATTGATTCATTTTTAAATTGCTTTTTGTAGAGAAAGTTGCTGTGTAGTAAGACTCCTGTTTCATGGGGATATTCTGTTCAAGGTGCAGGACCCTGCATTTGTCTATTTTAATTCAGTTTTTACTGCTTTAAAGCAATAAAGTAGAGCAGCAGTGCAGAACAAGAGCCTCCACTCTTGATAGTTGGGTACTATAACTTTCCTGCTTTACTGTAGGAGATAAATTCAGAACATCTTGGTTAGTTTTAAAAGATTTGCGCCTCTTAAAAATGAGGAAAAGGGGTCTGTTTCTCAAGTGTCTTTCACATTACTTTGCAAACTGCAATAGGCCACAATACAAAATCTGAAATATCTGGTGTTACAAGTTCAGGATAATATACTAGTCACTGTTATCAGCTATGGGGAGTGGGATAGAAAGTGCATCAGCCTGGTGCAGATAATGATTCCTTCATATCAGTTTTGCTGAGGTATTTGGAATATCCACCCTAGTTTCAAAAGACTGTAAAATCTTACAATTTGCAGGTTTACATTCTGAATTTTTATCTATTCTAGGTGTCTGCCAGCTATATTGAAATGATATTGTATTATGTATAGGAAAGTAGAAAGCTATCATCTCAAAATAGACCATAATATTGCACCTTATTAAAAAACACAAGTGGATTTTCTGCCAGCAACCATGACTTACAATAATGACTGTTATCAATATGCAATTACTTCTGTTACCCTAGAACATATTGACATTCATTTATTTAAAGATAATGTAACACATTTGTATTCATTGAAGTAATCTATGGATATGATTAAATGCGAATGCCCATCTTATACCAACCAGTGGAGAGGGGGAAAAAAAAGTCATAATCAGACAGCCTGCGCTGCTAAAAATAGGAAATATTACATTCTGAAAACTGCATCTGAGCTTATTTCAAATAGTGGCAAACAGTCATAAAGAAGCAAAAGTGTAACTTGGGTTATTACTAATTGAAGCATTCATTAATTCTGATTGGGGGAAACTTGACCATAAGAAAACCCAAGTAAAGCTGTGGAATTGGCTATCTTTGTGATGTAGGATTCCATAAAAATGGTGAATCTGTCTCTGCAGATAGTCTGTATAAATGGTGAATCCATGTAGGCCTACGGTGAAGGTGCAAAAATAAATGTATAGCAGTAGATAAATGTATATTTAAATGTGCTGCTTAGGCCTTGACTCCTGATTCTAAGAATACATCTGTCAGGTTTTTGCAGTGACACCAGGGTTTTCAAACTTCTAACCAAAATATAAGCAAAATAGAAATATCAAACATGTGAAGGAAGAGTGGTTCTGCAGTGATGTGTTCTTGTGATAGTAAACACTGAGGTCCATTTCTCAAGACCATTACAGGAAGCATTTGCAGTATTCTGAGCTTGGAAGTTCTTCTCTTTGTGGCATCTGAGAGAGAAATCGAGTGTATTTGGTTCTCCAGTTATCTGTTATAGATATATGCATTTTTACAACTAAATTTTTGTTCATAGTGTTTTTTCTTTTGTCTCGGGTACCTTGGATTTAGCAAAGATAACTCTTTGCTAAAGAGTTGGACTCAACAGAGTTGAAAGACTGTCTTAAATCTTGGTCCATTTTGTCAGGAACTGCAAAGCAAAACAAGGAATTCAAGAACAAACAAAAAGCTGAATATTGTATTTCTTAGCTTGGGAGAGTGATGGTATATTTCTTAGTAAACTTTTTATAACTGAAACTTTGCCAAAGTGTGAAGAATTGTCACATATATGGTAATCCCAAGCACTTACCATTCAAATTAAGCTTTTCAATAATATTGCCTTTCTGTTGTGTGAATAGGCAATCCTCACTGCAGTATCCCTAATACTGTAGATATTTCCAATTTTTTTAGTGGAGTCTCCATGTCGCTGTAGTCTGCTAATAGGGCTCTGGTTGTCACTGGAACTTGTCAATTAGCTGGGAATGGAGCTAGCAGCCCAATGCTTCAAAGTTAAAAGTAACAAGTGTCCCAGTTGATTTGGGGCTAGCTGTTTGTTCATCTGCTGCTGCAAGGGGGTCTGCAGCTCCCATGAATAATTCCTCTTGAACTGACAAGACTTTAACTATGCTAGAGCCCCTGCTGGAACTTGCAAATGCTTGTGATGCAATTTCATCCATGACATTTTTATGTCTATCAATAGATGGAGTGTGTGCTCCTGCATGCCTTGGCCCTGTTGATAGGCAGCCTTGCCCTTCACTGGGAAGGCTGATGCAGAGGTTTTGGTAATCTGTGCAGTGGCATTTGTAGTTTCTTAATCGTCAGGTGCTTCTGTGATGTCCACTCAGTATAATCTGACCTTACTAACTTAGTGGTGTAATAAGGGAGGCCTGGAAACTTGCATTTCCAAATACAGTTTTGCTATTAAAGCCTCAAATCTGTTAAAACAATTATGTTGCTTCTTTTCTGTATCCTTACAGAAATTCCTTGAACTAGAGTAGAGTCCCATTGATAGAGTGAACAAGTGAGCAACTCCACTGGAGTTCTGCTGTCAATGCCAGGCTAACCTTCAGTGTGTGCTTTGGGACAAGCCCAGCCGCACAGGAGTGTTTCATTGTGTCCAGGACTGGCTCAGCTGTTTGCTCTGGGCCTTATTGGGGGATTTTCTGCTTGCTGGGAGCCCACAGCAGCCCTGTGCAAGCAGGTTGGGGCTCTCCAGGCTGCTCTATATATGCAGTTCAGATTCTCAGTATAAGTCAGTGGAGAAATCTTCTGCCTGCTGTTTAATTTGGTTAATCTTTACTAATTGTAATCTTGCTCTTCTGGATCTTGCCATGTGTAGATGTTCATGTTGTGTAGATAGTCCCTTCTCTTACCCTTCAATGAGGCACAACCCCACCCCAAAGTTGAAGATTAGATCTGCACCCTGATCTCTTAGTAATAGGGTGCTCTGTAAAGCACAACCTCGAAGCAGATGTTCCCTTCTTTGCTGTGGTCTTAATCCATAACCGTAGCCCACATCAAGGCCCAAGTCTGGAATTTATCTCAAGATTTAACAGCTCTGTGACTGAATTTAACATTAGCTCTGAGATAGCCTCTTCTGAATCTTGTTCCTTGTATGTCTTTTGTGTTTTTTTTCCCTACATTTGGATATTTTTCTCCTCATATTTGGAACCTTTAAGTCTAGACCAGCCTTTCAGTGGACAGGGCAATGTTTCTGAAATGGCTTAATGTGAAGGTACTTAGTTATTTGACACTGGGCAAGTCTAGTAGCCAATTCACAGTCCACAGGAGTGAACAGCACATATCCAAAGCACCTCTTTTAAGTGGGCAGTCTATTTCTTGATGGTTAGGTGGTACCTCTTCAGAAACC